GAAGCCCAAACAAACATGGACAACACAAACAACACGGCTAAGATAATTAACACATCACACTGAAGGACATTGCTGTTGCCGCCCTGCACCTCACTTTCTGAGTGGATTCCCCAAACAAGTCTAAACTCTTCATCATTCCCGTTGAGAGGGTCCCGAAAAGTATAAAGTCCAGCACCTCTTGTGTGCGTCGGATTACTGGCTAAAACTGGGATGTATCAAAATAAGGAACCCCCAAACGGTGGTTTTCCTTTTGGCTTCCACTTAAAACACACCCAAAGGGGTACCTCCACAAAACGACACCCAAATCTGTCCACGCCTCAAGGTAGGCAATGCCCTCTGTCTGGCCCACCGTGACCTCAGCTACCCCATGGAACCTGACTCAATTGTTATGTACGAGGGATAGCTGGTAGGTATCATGGCAGGGGAATAAGCCTAGGGAATGTGCCCCAACCATAAACCCCACCAAACAACTCGGAAATGACTCACTTTGGGATACTTGAAAGGCCGAAGACCAATCAGCAATCTTTCGAAAGTGCCCTGCAAAGCCGCCCCTACAAAATCGGATCGGCGAAGCTGGACATGAAATCCGAGTCTGAGTCAACAGGTTGAAGGACTTGGCAACATCCTCCCCCAAAGACACCCTCCGCAAGATGAGTCCGCTGGCGAGTTGACACACACAGAAACCACCCCATGGGGGGTCCGAGTTCCGTATTCTTGAAATCAAGGCGGGATCAACCTTGTCCAAAGGGGCGCTAAACAATCACATGATTTGCCTTATGATAGCCATGACAACCCTCACTTTTGAAGTATCCCAAAAGCCCCCCAACTTAGGCCAAGCCTTGTAGATCATCCCTGGGGGTTTCCTTGCTAGTTCTCAGCAGGGAATGAGGGAAGTCCCCTTAAATGACAACTACCAGTTGGATGCTTTATGGGGGTCGTTCCAACTCATTCCCTGCTGAGCACTAGCAAGCAAAGGAAAACCACATGTTTATGTTTATGATAGGTTAATCCAAGACCCAGGTGTTGGAACCTTGGCTAAGAATCCATGCTTCAGCTCTTGGCAGAACTGCGGGGACTCCGGTGTGGGATATTTGGCTCTGGGTCAAAACCCAAATCGTACCCCCGGTGAACATCCGATTCAATCCACCACTATAGACCAAAATAGGTGGTGCACCTACCCTAAAATGGTACCATTGGTGTTGACCCACGGCCATTTCCTTTTCTCGGCCTCTGGCGCTGACGCCAAAGGACTTGGAGCAGCCAGCCTCACCGGCGGCTTTTTGCGTCGAAATGACCGGCTGCGAGGACCCCCTAGAGGGGTCTCAAATCTTGGAAAACACCCATTTGGGAGTCTCACTGGCTGAGTGGATGGCCCCAAACAAAAAACCAAACTTTTTGTTGCCACTAAAATGGTCTTCCCAAAAAGTCTAAAGTTCATGAACTCAGGAAGTGAGGAGTTGGGAACAAAGGAACGACGGGCTTGGACTTGGAACGACTTCCATTTGGACTTTGGGCGATACAAAGGGAGGGAACGGGTTCAAAAACCCAGTTAAACAAGTGACCCGAAAGGCTGAAACAGAACATTTTGCAAAGAGGTTGCCAAACAAGGCTTCCAAAGGGAATCCAGGTTGCAGCAAAACGGGCGGGTTGCTTTTGTCGTTTTCGATCCCAAGGAAGGTATCAAAAGACAACGTCCCCCAGGAATCAAAGGATATCAAGCGGACACTAAGTGACCTCTTTGGGGCTATGTTGGGGGCCATGTGAGCGCCATGTGTGTGGCCTGGAAAAGGGAATTCACGATTAAAGACACGCCTCGCGTGAGAGGTGCAATCTATTTGATTAGACGGATCAAGACAACAGAATCTTGGGAAACCGCCCCCAAAGTAATGATCATGCCTATTCAGGAGTCCAACTGCTTGATGATTTCCACTCATGTGCCTAACGGCTTGCAACATGCCGCTTCTCTTTTGTGTTCTGTTGGCGTGTTGACGACCTGATTCCGTGAGCAAGCCCCTGGTAGACCAAGCACGATAAGATGTTACGAGGTCCAGCTCCTTTTTTGGACAGTTTGCACGTACATTCCCGGATAACTTGTCAAGAGCCAATCTATCGAACAATATGTTTAATTCAAGGGCTACAATAGAAGTCATCATCAGTGTTTAGAGCATGTCATGTGTTTCAAAGAGTTTGAGAGGCTGCAAAAAAGCTGCAAAAGCGAAACCTGCTTTCTGCTCAAGTAAATCATCGCTCAAGTGCATCCATCCACACAAGTTGCACTTACGAGACCTCTTTCTGGCTGTCTTGCATGCTCTATGCGTCTGGGTTGTTCAAAATGGGGGGGAGGGCATCCTCAATCCAAATTCGTAAATTCATAATCCGTACTGGGAATTCGCTACAACACGGGGGGAATCCGGCATAAGGCTCCTTGCTGGCCAATTTCGACCAACCCGGCTCTATCGGTTTCGGCCGTCAGACGCCGCCCCGCCTCCGCCGAAACTTCTGCTGCCGCTGACGAGGCAGCCGTAGCCGTCACGTCCACAATCTGCGGTTGCAATCTCACAGAGGAGAAGTCGGAGAGGTCAGCATCAAGCAGTGGAACTCTCCCCCAACTAGGAAACGAGCTCCATGAACTAGAATGCTTGTACTCACAAATAGGGGAAACCAATGGGGAAGGGTCCGTTTATTGGGGATGCCCCCGCTTGCAAAAGATGTATTAGGGAGTGGACCTGACTCATAACGTTGCCCTGGCTGACAACTTGCAGCCAACAAAGAATTTGTGGTTGTGGCTTAATAGGTTCCACAAAGCACTGCAGCCACTGGATCTGGTTCACAAGGATAGACGCGTCACCGTCAACTTGTTCTGGCTAAAAAACACATTGTGGCATGGTGCACGTACCAGAAGTAAAAGACCTTCCAAATGACAAAGTCGTCACTAAAAGTACACGTTTCTCACTAATATTCACCTCCTGTTAATCAACCCCTGCTTATTAATAGGGTGGGTGGTTGGAGATTCCCCACTAGCGACGATTCCCCATTACAGTAAACCCAGTGACACACAACAGGGGTTGATTAATATGGGGTGGACATTATCACAAAAGTGGGTTGCCCAACCCCTCAGTCAATTCCACGACCCCTTGTTGCGCAGTCCAGCGCGCATGTTAGCGCCACATCCCAAAGGCTTGGAGCTTGGCCGCTTGCTGATAGAAAAAGAGTGCGCGGATCAACACGCAGCTTTTCGCACGTGGGCGCCACGTATATCAAGCGCCACCTGTTGGGCTGCAAAAGAAAAGGTGTTGTTGGTGGTTGCAATATGTCTTCACCCAGTGGAGTATCAATCTTTACTAAAGTGCGAGCATGCCGAACACAACTTCCCAAAGATATGTGTACATATATATATATATATTTATGTACACAAATGGTGCAGGAATGAAGCAGCTCTTATTTGCCTGTTTCTGCGTGGAGTCCCAATATATGTCAAGTATGAAATGAGCAACACACCGTGATCTCACATGGGTGGGTGAGTTGAGTGCAATATTTGGGACATCAACCGCGGATCCGCTAACTTCAAGTCGCAACTTGGTTGCTCACATTCCCCTGTTGACCCCTGCAAGGAGGCAGCTTCCATCACCAAACTGTGAAGCGGTCTCTGGCTTCCGAAGCTCCAACTTTCCCATACCAAAGTGGCGGTTTTTTCGTTACTACTTTGTCAAATTTTCTGGTGGTTCCTTCAGACCACAGACACTGGCCCTAAAACCCAACTTTCCACAACCACCCAAGCCTGGGGTACACAAATCAAACAAGGCTCTGTCCCATATATCTAGTCTACCCTAAAACATAACTTCATTTTGAAGGACACCCCACTCGGTTGCTTTCTGCTCCCCTGATAAAAGCTTAACTTTTAGTGGTTTCATGGACAACCCATTCGTTGGCAAAAAGTTAAAGTCCTAACACCCAGCTCAGATGCCCAGTGGCCATAGGAAAAAAGGGGCATCCTTTTTTTGGTGGTTGACTTAAAGGGAAACCTTTCCCCAAAACAAGGAGAAAGAGCACCACTGGGCAACTGGGCCAGTGAAACCAACGTCGCCTTCCTTCCTCGCCTCAACCTCTGCTGTCTCCGCTGCAGTGGGTACATCTTCCACCGCAGCCTGCGCCATGGGGAACTGGGAGGAAAAGCTGCAGGAAGATAATAGCCCAAACTCCTTTTTTTTTTTGGGGGGGGGGGGTGTTTTGTCTTGTATATACTAATATATATATATATAGGTATACATATATATATATATATATGTATATCTAAATGTATGCAGAACACACTGCACATACCAGTGAATTCTGAAGGAAGGTAGATCCATGGGGGGGAACCCTATATATATATATATCATGTATATGTATAGTATTATTTGGCTAATGTCCTGCAACATATCCTGTAATTTCTACGATAATCTGAATGGTGCTTTGATTCAGTCATCGCTTTCTATCAACACGTGCCTCGTGGCTGCAACTTAGATAAACTACCAGGTCGAGTACTCACATTAGCATACCCACCCTGTAAGATTGCCAGAGTGATGCCATCCCCTCTAAATGAGAGAGTCTGAATCCACAAGCAGAAAAATGCCTGAGTGATCCCATACTGAGAGGGCAGGAATAGTGGATTTTGCTCCCTTTTGGGACACTGCACATGGATAGGAATCTTGGAAGGGGACCTTTCAAAAGTGGAATCCTTGCCATTCATTTCTGAGGGTACCAATCTGGCCACATTGTGCCGCCAAAAAAAGTCGAGGCTCGTGATCCAAGCAGCCCACGGCGAAGAATCAACCAGGGCGACTCTTGCCACACCAAGTTCTGGCCCCTCCCAAGGTCCCGTCCCCTAACCCTCCACTTTCTCAGGTGTGCTTTTAGAGACTGGGTACCCTTTAAACGGGAATTCCACATCTCTACCCTTCTCTCACCTTGGCTGGGGTCCAAATCCCGATTTTGACGCCACGCAATTCGTTGCGTCGCTGTCAGCTTTCGCCCGCCTCATCCGGCTCGGCCGGTGCTTGGATCTCACTCACGGAGACCTTCGAGGGTCGGAGTCGAAGAGAGAATCCTTCTGGGGGGGGGGGGGCTGAAGGGAAGCTCAAGGCAAACCGCCCAGTTTCTTTAGGGCTTAAGATCCAAACAGACACCGGGGTCCAAAGACCCGACACCCAAGCAGTGCTCTTGTAGGGGAACCCAAAGAAGGTTGTTTCATCCGTTGTCTAAACGTGTTTAAACTTCCGTTTGCTTAAGCCCCCCGAAAAACGAAAAGAAAAACAACTAACAAGTATTTCTAGTAGTGATCGATTCCTTTTAACACCAACAGGGGAAAATAAAACACATATTCTTAAGCAAATGGAAGTAAACAAAGGGGTCGGCCGAGAGGTGCTCCAAAGACCTAGGCACAAGGGTAAGAAACCTGGTCTCCGGTCGAGCAAAAAAACAAAAAGAGCCCAATATAAAATGTTCAACCGTTCTGATTGGTTCATTTTTCAGGGACGGAAACTCCGTGGTGGTTTGGTTCTTCCTTTTTGGGATGGAGCGACCCAAAGCAAAGCAGGCACTCTTAGTGCCTCAATAAGGACAGAACATCTCAGAAAGTGGATGCGCACGCATCCGTATCCCAAGTACACCAACCACTTTGGGGTTGGCTCCCGTACCCGTACCCCAAATTCCCTGAAGGAGCTTCTATTTCTGATTGGGTCAGATATGCAAACCTTTAATTATTTAAGCAAACGAAACCTGAGTCACAGCGAAAACCAAAAGGCAAAAGAGCAATACATGTTGAGGGACGAGGCATTTCAAGCGATTGCTCTTATTTCTGGTTGAGGATGTCCCCTTAACAAAGGAAGGCAATGTCTTACGCTTACGCCTGTCCCATGCGTTGGATCAGCTTGTTGCCGAGACAGTTGTGTTTCGCAAATGAAGCTCTTGTGAGGCAGGTCACACCCCTTGAAGTATCGCTTGCAAAGGACCGTCAAGCGGTTCGCTTAAACCAAGCACATGTCTGAATTTGTGCAAACACACGGCACGAAAAAGCCAAGCGAGAGCGAGAGTGAAGGAACAAGCTTCATCAGAAATTAATCAGCGGCAATGCGAGATCGAGCAACACTCGTTGCCAGGATGTCCGCTAAACTTGCGAACCGTCGATTGTTCCGCTCAAAGACCTTGTCGAATCCTCCTGGAAAGTGGACTCAAACAATCAACGGGTGCGTTTCGCTTGAGGGTGCCATTTTTAAGATTGGTTTTACAGGGAAACAACAGGTTCCCCTTTCACACATTGTCACACATTGTCCCTGTCCAACCAGTGAAAACCAAAGATCGGGGTCTCCTATTTCAGAAGAGAAACAAGGGCAACCTGTGTCTTGTTACAGGCAACCCCCCTTAAAGTTCTTGAACACGAATTGAAAACACCAGACGCCACTTGAAGGGACCCCCGGTATTTTGCCGCGTCTTCGGCCCCCTTCTCCCCGCACGTGCCTCACCGCCAGCAGCTTGCGCCAAGTCTGGGCTTGTGGAAAGCTGCTGCAAGTTGTTGGAGACCTCGCAGGACGAAAACGCGCGCGAAGCGTTTTGCTGCACTCCAGCACATGTAACCTAAACGGGGTCAACGTGTTTGCATGAGCAAACACGCAACTGCAGAAGGAATCACGCCGCTTGCCACGGTCTTTGCCATGCTTTCCTAGAGGAGCCCATGTGAGAAAACCCGGAACTTGCCAAAGGAAGCCTCCCAAAAAAACCAGGGTCCCATGAACAGCCCCAGATTGCGAACTGGAAACTGCTGCTGTCGCTGCCGCGGAGGCAAAGAAATCCCATGTCCAAACCCCCATCCCACCAGCATGTTTGTTGGGGTGGGGGGGCGGGGGAGGGGTCTTGGTTGTCTAACCGCCAAACAGAGTCTTGACAATGCCGAGGCCCCAAACGCCTGGGCTCCGCTCTCTCAGCCCTGGCCCAGGTCCTCTTCTTTTCAGCATGGCAGTGGCCCCCCAAGAAGCTGCGCAACCGTTCGTGGAGGAAACAAACTGTTCCAAAGGGGTCAACAGCAGCGAACAGCAGCAGACAGAATGGTCAGGGCAGGAAAAAACATCACGCAACGCGACGCAACGCGGATGGCGTTGCCGGCAGGCGAGTACCTTCAGTATCTGCTAGCACTGGACGAGGATGGTCACCGGAATTGGAGGAGGAGGAGAAGGAGGAGGAAGCAGAGGAGTAGGAGAAGGAGAAAGAGGAGGAGAAGGAAGAGAAGGTGGTGGATGAGGAGGGGGGAGGGCTTTTTTGCCAGATAGTCTTCAAAGAAACCCAACAAGAAACCCACCGGTGTGTCCACGCCTCGCCAAGCTCGGACGCCTGGGCGTTGAGCGCATCACTGCCTGGCAGAGTTTTCCGAGCAACATGGACGAAAATGACGGATGCTTTAAATGCTTCCCAAGAGGACTTGAGTGGTTCATTTAAGGAACTAGTGTATGTCCAAGGATTTGGCTTCACTTTCAACCAACTCAAAAAGCTACCCCAAACATGCAATGCAATGCAATGCAATGCAATGCAATGCAATTCAATGCAAAGCAATGCAATGCAATGCAAACCAACGCAAACAAACACACACCCACACCCACACCCACACCCGTGCCCGCACGCCCGCACGCCCGCGCGCCCGCACGCCCGCACGCCCGCACGCGCCGCGCGCGCCCGCGCGCCCGCATGCCGGCCCGCCCGCACAAACACCCATGGGAAAATTTGGCTGTCCCCCTTGTGTTTGCGGGGAATTTGGGTTGTCCCCCTTGCCCTCCGCGATTCCACAAGCGCCAGCTTCGTGGATCAGGCCGGGAGGTTGGGACTTGGGGCACGCTGGGAAAAGGGTGCAAGGGGACGCCAAAAACATGGGACAGCAAACCCCGGTATTCGAATGAAAACAGAATGGGCATGTTGAAAGAACGAGGAAGCGTCCGTGTTAATTGCCCCGCTGTTTTTGCTGCTTTTTCAGGGTCGCCCCGGGCCGAAACGCAGGGAACCGCACACTTTCGTTGGAGGGTCACAGAAAAACGCGCTACTTGCGCAACTCTGTGTGGTTTTGCGCGTTTCGTTGAGGCAAAACACAGATTTCAAATTTGGGCGAAAACAGTGTGTATTCTTTTAGGGGGAAATGGTCCGTCGCTGTGTGTTTGTGTGAATATGTTGAGGCGAAACCGTGATTTCAGGATTTCGGCGAAACCGTCGTGTTACCATTTTTTAGGGGAAAAGGTTCGTCATATGTGCCCGCGAAGCAAGCTTGTACTTTGCCTTGCCAGCTGACCCATCATATTTCCTGATAGCAAATTAAAGTTGGCTGTGGAAATCGCACCTCTAAATTGTTGTTCATGTATCTTCTTTGAATGCCAGGTGTCTATTTGGGTTGCGATTGTTCTTTTGCGGAGAGGGAGCTTCAAAACACAACGTTCTGTTGCGGGGAAACTGGACGCGAGTAAGCAAAGCGTCAGAGACAACACAAACAGCGCGCGCGCCAGGGATACCCGGACAGACCGCGAGCGCGTTTCCATGACGTCGCGCAAACAAACGGCAAAGACAAAGACAAGATGTCGAATGAAGGGGCCACCGGCGCTGATCCGCCACAATGGACAAAGTCACCTCAAGAGCAGGCAGGTCGCAGTAATCCGGGTGAACCTGAAACCACAGCGCAAGGTTGACCCCACCCCACCCCACCCCGTAACCAACACAATGCGGCAAGAAATCGCAAGAAAACGCGCAGAACCTGTGGGGCCGCTATCCCGGACGCTAGCAAGAACGAGGCACCCATTTGGCACTCCTCTGATCATTCGCGAAAGGAACCCTGAAAAGGTGTCTTTGAAGCTTCTCCACATTTCGACTTTGGAGCTTTGCATGTCTGGTGCCAAATTTCATGACACTATACTTACCAGTGACATCACGTTCTTGGAAAAATCAAAGGGGAATCAACACTTACCCCTTAAAACTCCAAGCCCTGGGGAAGTTAGTCTTTTACAGACATATAGCCCATGTTACCCAAAAAGTTGAAAAGTTGTGTTTTCAAGAGGTAAGGTCATCAACGGGGTCCTGACTGATTCTCTGGAACTGGCTTCAGGATTGTCCCCCAAAGGTGGGGGCAACCAGAAAAGAAACCAACGAGGAGAGGATGAGCCAAGATCTGACCCCGATTGAAGAATCAATGCTGGGGTTCCTGTTGGGAACACCCTCTAAAGCAGAAGAATCAGTTTCCCTCTAGTTGGGAGGTTTGAGTTTGTGGTTTGAAGGTAGCGGGGACGGCTTCTCATTTACCCTCCACAAGGAGTTCAAGTCTACAAGCCACTAATCCAAACTGCCATGGCAGGGCTACCTGAACAAGGCACCACACACACAACACACAAAAAGAAACACACACAAACACATAAAAACACACACACACAACACACAAAAACACACACACACACACACACACACACACACACACACACACACACACACACACACACACACACACACACACACACACACACACACACACACACACACACACACACACACACACACACACACACACACACACACACACACACACACACACACACACACACACACACACACACACACACACACACACACACACACACACACACACACACACACACACACACACACACACACACACACACACACACACACACACACACACACACACACACACACACACACACACACACACACACACACACACACACACACACACACACACACACACACACACACACACACACACACACACACACACACACACACACACACACACACACACACACACACACACACACACACACACACACACACACACACACACACACACACACACACACACACACACACACACACACACACACACACACACACACACACACACACACACACACACACACACACACACACACACACACACACACACACACACACACACACACACACACACACACACACACACACACACACACACACACACACACACACACACACACACACACACACACACACACACACACACACACACACACACACACACGCACACACATCAGGGGTTGAGGATCAGAATCCGGATCTGCGGATGCCCTGCCTGAGCTTTCAGAGTCGCCACCTGTGGCTGCGGCAGCCTGAAGGAAGGCTTTGGGAGTTCAGGCGAAGAAAATCAGACAGCCCGGTGGCTCAACTGTTCCAAGATCCGGCTGACATTCAGAAAAACATCCAAACATCCAACATCCAAACATCCAAGATCCGTGTCATGGATCCTGTTGATGGATGTTCTTCGAATTGAAACATGTAATAACAAAGATTCTCTGTTTGGGGCGTGGGTTCTACACAAAAGGGAAACTTGAATGAGTTCCAAACATCCACGGCCTTCGACGAACAAATGCTGGCGTCAAGTGTCGGATACCCTCTTACACGGGTGGCACCCGCCTATGAATGAACCAAAGGCTGTCTTGAACGCCATGGAAGCTTCCACGGGATGGTAGTCCACCCCCCCCACCCCCACGCCCAAATAAAAGAACAGAACACAACAAACAAAACAACAAAAACAAAAAAACACCTGGGCAGAAACCCCGTAGCTTCCAGCTGTTGGAGAACAACATCATGGGTTGGTACCATGCCCCAGCCCCCTGAAGTTCAACGGACCTCATGAGCCACAATCAAAATCTGGTACTAAAAGGGTCTGGGTAAGCCATTGCAAATGAATTCTGATCAAGGGCGGCCGCGCCTATTTCTGACAACTCCGAATATATTTGTGTATCTTGTGTTGTTTACCTCTTTTTTTTGCTCTCTCTCTCTCTCTCTCTTGTTTTTTTCCTCTCTCCCCCTCTCTCTCTCTCTCTCTCTCTCTCTCTCTCTCTCTCCTTCTCTTAGTCTTTCTATTTCACTCTCCTTCTCCTTCTCCTTCTCTTTCTCTTTCTCGCTCTCTTACTCTCGTTCTTGTTCTTTTTCTTATTCTACCTATCAATCTATGTGTCTGTCTGTCTGTCTGTCTGTCTGTCTGCCTGCCTGCCTGCCTGCCTGCCTGGCTTTCTGTCTGTCTGTCTGTCTATCCTTTTCTCTGTCTATCTGTCTACCCGCACCAACTCCGAGCCCGTTTCGAGCCGTCGTCCGTCAGGCGCTGCGGCCGATGTAGCTTTCAGCCATCCGGAGACGCTAGAACCCGCAGAGGGTTGCTCTTTTTCGCGATTTCTATTCCCCTTTAGCTGTATTCAATTACTGTCTGTCGCACGGAAGTTCCTTCTACACTTCCTTTGACTATCCTCAATCTACCTTGCTGTTGATTCTGGCCCACCTGTACCACCTTAATGGGAACAACAGCAACTGCAACATGATTCACTTAAAGGCGGGGCAACGGTTCCCTGAGACGCAACTGGGAAACGCCTTTCGTTTCCCTCTCATTCCCACACTGCCTCGTCGTCTATCAGGGTCCCTTATGTCCTACTTGAGCATCCTAGAGGAAACTCTTCCATTTGCTTTAGTCGCCTGGAACAAAATCCAACTACTTCCAGTGGTGACGGATTCCCTTCAAAGCCAACAGGGGAAAATAACAAATAACACATATTCTTACTCCAATAGAAAAAACAACTTCTTCCAACATTGGCCCTGAAACGCCTTTCGCCCCTGGGATTTCCCCGATGAAATCGGTTCTCCGGGACTCCCGGCAGCATCCTTGGAGGGCTCGATGCTGATGTCCAGGTCCGTCTGCTCCACGGTGGCCAGGCGCCGGCCTCAAGGAAAGCCATGGGAGGCCAATGGGACATGGGAAGCGGAACCCGTGGGTATGGCGGCAAAACACTGGTTGTATGTTTTTGCAGCCTAGTAAACATGAACAGACCAACAAAAACATAAAAAAAAAAAAAAAAAAAAAAAAAACCAAAAACAACTTGCCAAGAACTAAAAGTTCAGGGAAGCCGGGTAAAGGTAAAAGCACTCGCTTATTTGAAAGGATTTTGACAGCCGGAACCTAACAGGAGAATCCTGGACCATTTTCCTTGAAAAGGTACCCATCTGCCTAGTGTGTTTCATGTTAGTGCATCAGAGGGTACCCTTTTGGGCTGAGAGCGGCGCGCCTTGATGGGGCTTACGATTGTCAAAGTTTGTCTCTTTGGGCTTGGTTTGAAGGGCAAATGCCTCACTGAAGGTCTGGGGGCAGGCGCAAACTCTCCCCTCCAATTGGTGGTTTGGATTGTGTAGAGGACCACTTCATGTTTGGGGTGACCGTTGTTTGTGAGGAAAACGCAGCGGTCTTATTGAGGGAATGTCCGGTCGGTTCCTGGACACCAAACCGAGGTTTCTCAGGGTTCGGTCGGACCGACCGCTTCACCGCACTGCGAGCTCCCGGCGTTTGGATTGGCAATCGTCTCCGATGCACAAAGACCTCAGCATGCCGACTTGATTCCTTTTCCATGATTTTCAATCAGCGTTCTTTTCAACCAGCTGTTTCCCCAGGGTTTTGGGTGGTTTTCTGGAAAGAAGGATCCCTGGAAAGAATGGGGAAGCTACCCCTGGAACTATACCTCTCTATGCCAACCTGCGTTGTCGCCCGACCCCCCAGCCCACCACGGTTATGACGGAGGCAGCTGGGGTTACTTCCCCATGCCCTTAACCATGGTCCGAATTGTGGCCTGCTCATTCCCGCAAATGAACATGAAACCCAAAAAGGGGATCCGTTTCTCAGAAGAAGTTTCCTCCAAACACACATTTAAGTCAACTGGCAGCCAACCCTTAGTTGGTGGTTTGGGTTGGTTTGGGATTTGGTAGAGGGCAAAGGGGAAAACCCCTCCACCAAACCACCACACCACCGGGCTCCAAACCAGCAATCGAAGGGAAGCTGCAATAAGTGTGCACTTCAGCTTCCTCTGAAAAAAATCACATCTAATCATTTTGGTTCCAATCAACACCTGATACAAAAAAACTGTTTCGAAGGGGAAAAGACCAAAACAAAAACAAAACAAAAACAGTGCACCTGCCATCGACCTTTTCGACCCCGCCGGCCGTTCCCCTTGGCCCGCCGCTCGTCTTCCCCGATTTCCAGCAGCTTCAGGCGCCGCCGCGCCTTCACGGCGGCTACCTGAACACCACGGCCCCGTGTACCCGAAGCCCCCACGCCCGACCGCCCCCAGAAACGCGCCAACCGGAAAAAACGCCCAGAGCTCTGGCAGCCCCCACCAAAAAAACAAAGCACGGATGCAATTCTTAAAAAAGAGAACAAAAACGTGGGCGCCAACCGGAAAACAAATGCCCAGAGTTCGAGCGGTTGATTCCGATTCCCCATTCTTTGCAGCCATCGTTCTTTTCAAAAATCGGATCCGTTTCCCCAGGGTTTGTGGTGGTGTTCCGGAAAGGAGGATCCCTGGAAAGAATGGACATGGAAGCTACCCCTAGAAGAGTCGAATTGGTGTTCACTCAACAAAGAAAGAAAGAAGCGAACCAACTTTGGGTGGCCTCTTGGCTTCCACCTGAGATACCTCGAAGAACAGTCAACCCTTCATCGATTTTCCGTAGAGAAGGGATGGAGCTCCAAGGTTTTGGGTATCCTCCTAGCTTTCCCTCCAACCAAGGGGCCATTGTCCAATTGCAGTTGACGCTCCAAGAAAAGACTCAACACCCCCTCCATTCATGCATCGCATTCTTCTCAGCGACCAGTGGTGCCAAGTGATGGCAATGTGCATTTGGCAGATCTTCACCTAGTTTCCCTTTTAACCACCCGCTACACAGGCTCCGTCATTTGTCTTGCCCTCAATCACGCCCCTATGCTAGGTCCTCCAGTAGAAAGGTTAGAACAAGGCTACCCTTTTTTCTGTAGTCTATTTTACTGGGGGACCTAGTAGCGCTAGTGGGGCCCCGCACCACGATACGCTCGGGGGGGATGCCCAGCAAGATCGCCAGGTTCGTCTGAAACTCCGCCCCGTTGAACTCTTCGATGCTTATCCTTAGGCATCGAACGTACAGCGGTTTCACCGCGTCTGAAAACCGCGCGTCAGGCAGTTGTTTTTGTTGGGAGCCAAAGGGAAATCACGTAAAACCGGTTCTATAGGTGGATTGGGAAAACCTAAGAAGGAAACCAAGCGTCGGCTAATGCATACTGCAGCCTCTTCGGCCTTTGGAGTGATGAATTTCTCCATCGTCAATTTGTATAACGGTCACCCCACCAACAATCATGACGGATGACAGGAGTCTTTTGGCTGTCCCTGTGCAGAAGAGGCTGTTGTTGAAAAAATAGCAACCACCACCAAAACCTAGTGCCCAGTGACCTTGGTTGACAAATAAATGGAACTCTTTGGAGATGATCGTATTTTGTGGGGAGCCCACTGAACCCACGCAAAAAATGTTCAAACCGGACAAAGAGAAGAACGACGAGATCTCTGCGGCTCTCGGGGCTCAATGTTCATCTTCAGCTTCACCGTGGGCGTGCGCCGAATCGTGAGGTCCTGCCGAGCCTGCGACGGACGTGACGCTCGCTCGTGGGGGGAAGCCGGGCAGCGAAGCGGTGGAGTGACCTTTGGGCCTCCTCCTTGTCCTGTATGGATTCAGAGTCGAATCGCAAGGGAGTCATTGCAGCCTAGTGACTATTCGCGACTCATGTGAATATGAGGGGTAAAACTATTCACAGCCATAATCTTCCCATAGCTCCCCTTGTTGCAACTCCCAAGAAGCCTTGGGCAGTGAGAAAGATGTCCTTTTTCCCCAGGCCATTGAAGATTTGGCTATTCTCCAACATAAGCAGTGCTGGTTCTTGGTTTGATAGGGAGTAAGGCTACATATCTTCTCAGGACATGGGTTGTGCCCCTGAAAGGTTGCCCGTTGAAACCACCCCATTTCTGGGCCTGAAATACCACAATGCCCATATCCACCCTAGATCCTCCAGTAGAGAGGTTAGAATAAGGGTACCGTCTGTTTTCTGTAGTCGATTTTAGTAGGGGAACCCTCCCCCCAAAAAAGGGTAAAAGGGCACCTAGCTGGGGGACCTAGAACCTTTAAAACACCACCTTTTCCGAGTTCAGCACCTGGATGTTGGGAATGTCTGGGGCTCAACTCTTCTTTCTGCAACACCCCCCCTCCATGGGTTTCCGCAGCACAAGGAAGACTTAAACGGGGGCTGCCTCCATTTTCTTCAGTCCCCTGGAACAAATTCAAAAATATGTCCAGTCGTGACAGATTCCCTTTAAAACCTAGGGGAAATTAAACAATACTCTTAACCAAATGGAAGAGTGTATACATGATGTTCCCTTCAGGGTCGGGGTGTGCAGCGATGATGGACTGCCTATGAGTGTCATATCCCCCCAGGATGCCACTTCGGTAGACTTGCGGGAAGGCCTGCATGCTGTGAACGATGAAACATCTGCCAACTTGCCAACGAGCTGCTTGCATACATGGCAAGGATTGGTCCAACCGCCTGTTCATGCTGAAATGGTTCAAATGTGTCCCACACAACTCATTGAATCCTTCCATTTCATTCCCGGTCTCCATGGCAGCTTGTTTAGCCACCGATTCTCAGGCCAACACTTCCTGCCCAAGTTTCTCAGCACCGCAAGACCACAACCCCCAACCTTTCCAAGCCCCCCGCCGCTCCAAACACACACACACACACACAACCCCCCCACAACCCCAACCCGGCCAACCCCCGCAACCCTCCCATTTCCATGAAGTGTCCAACCCCAGCCGACAACCCGGAGAGAAAAGCAAAACTTCTTCGGCTCCCCGGCGTCAAACCCTGCTTGCGAGCCCCGCATGGTCACGTAGAGGCCTCCGCTTTTCGCTGGAATTCCGACCCCGCAAGCGCGGGCAAGGGAAAAACAACTGCATGTTCTGAACCGAGAAAATCAGATGGATCTTCAAGTTATGCAAATACCCACATAAACCAGGGGAACGGGTTCACGTCCTGGAGACTTTGTCGGAACTTGCCTCTTAGAAATTTGCAATACTTCCGAGACCTGACACATAGCCTTTTAAAAGCTAGAGGGGTCATCGTGGTGAGCTCGTTTTACCATGTGAGCTTGCTAACATTGGGCAACCGTATGCAGTGAGAGCTGGTACCCATTATTCCAAGTCACCACGAGCAACAAGTTCATGGATGAAGCCACTTCACCCACTTGCGCTTGTGAAGTCGCTGAAATGCGCCAGGCTCCGTGCAGCTCGAATTCCTTTTTCTTCACACGCCCCATGGGTTGGACCCCAACGAAGCCAAAAATCAAGGAACCAGACAACTGAACACGGCTTTCTGGTGTGCCTTTGGTTTTCCCTTCAAACCATCCAAAGGGTTTCAATTAGGGCGCTCGTGTTGCGAGAAACTTGAGCCCCTCGGTCGGGCTGCATGTTCAAGGGGACCCGTCCTTTGGACCCATAAGACAAGAGTTGTGGAGGTCCAAAAACTCAAAGGACCCCCAACGCACCCCCAAAGTTTTTGGCAATGACCTCCAAAAAACCAGGAAAATAAAGTACACGGGCAGCAACAACCAACCCCGCTTTACTAAAGTGATCTACGCATATTTTTCGACCGTGGCCCATTAGTCTTTGCATGATCAGAGTTAGGCCCAGTTAATCTTTGTTTGCTTCACTTTGAGTCACTGGTAAAAGGTAAAATCCTAAGTCTACCCCAGTTTCTAGGGGGCCCAGGAGCTTTGGCCCATTTTCACCCCCCGCGCCCATCCGTCCGCATTTTTGGGATCCCCGCGTAGCGCTTGGGCATCCACGACGTGGGCGCCGTGACTGACGCGTGGAAAATGTACCGCCTTTTTTATGGTCAAAAATACGTACCCAAAATGGAACCCTGGTAAATGGAACCAAAGACTAAAACCTGCGGTCCCCTGGTGGTTGAATTTTGACCCGTACCCGTATCTTGATGCGAGAGATGCAGGGAATGAGAAATGGAAGGTCACCCATTCCCTTACAGGTCCCTTAAAGGTTTCAAGGGAACCCTGCAGGAATTTGAAGGGATTCGCTAGGAAACCAAATCGGGGATGATTTTGTTCGGGGGATGAAAGACCGTCCGGGGGTCCTGGTTTGGACCAGCGTATTTTTTAAAGGAACCCCCGGAACGGCACATGCTACGTGTGCGTTTTAATGAAATGTCGGCTTCCCTTGATATCCTTCGAGATTGGGTTCACCAACTCTAGGTCACCCCCCTGTTGATGCTAGATTTGCTTGGCCCACATCTAAGGAACGCAGAACAAAAACATGTTCAGATTTTGTTTCATGTTTAAAGTGCCTCGCTAAACTAAAGCATATTTGTTGAGGAGACCCCAATTAAAGCAATTACTTAAAGACAATGCCCTTTTGTCAAACACGCCGATCGCGCCCAAACCCCAGCCACTCAAAAAAGGCCCAGGCCGCTAAAAACTTGCGGACACCTTTTGCGGTTAGGTGCTTTCTCTTTTCAGGGGTCCCATTATGGATGGTTTTCAGGGGAAACCAAAAGGAAAGCCCCTTTTGGACAAGGAAAGTCTTTTTGGGGGGGAAACAAAAAAGGAAACCAACCAACCCTGAACAAATTCGTCCCAATTGAGAAACCAATGTCCTCCATGTTTTTCAAAATCCAGGACCGCACCGTCGCATGCACCCGGAAAGCCCCGTTTGTTCACCCCGTACGGCCTTGAAAAAAGCTGCACAGCATGTCAAAAGCTCCTAAAAAGTTGTTCGCAACCCTGTCAATTCAAACAGAGCGCAACATGATCCATGTCATGTTTGATTTTCGGGGGAGAGCAACATGGCAAACAGCTAAAGTCAAATCACTCTCTCCAGGGATATCAACCAGCAGGGACACCCTAAATGACGCCAAAACGAAACCAAGGCGACTTCCCGGGTCTTTTTGCTGGGCTGCCCTCAGATCCCGGCTAAAAGCTGAACTTTTAGTGGGTTAAATGGAAGCTACCACTAAACGCTAACAGGCTAAAAAGCTAAGGGAATGGCTGGGAGCCTCCAGGTCCCATGTTCGACTTCTACCCGAACTTAGGCCTTCGATGGATCCGATTTCCGCGCAAACCTTCTCCGATGCGGCAAAAACTGTTGGCCGAGGCGGCTCATCTTCCAGGGTGGGCTTCCGACCCTTGGATCTCGACTGGAGTGCTGAAACATCCAAACGCGGATGGCTACAAAGTCCACACCATGGCTGGGATTGATGGCTTTTATCCCATTCCCAAAAGTTTAATTCGGACAAGATCTGAAGAGGGATGGTTTTTCGAAGTCCACTTCACACTAGCTGGGATTGGTGGTTTATCCCGAAATGTCCAAGGGTTTCATCCACAGGACTTTCTTGATCCAATGGATACGCCCCTGCAAATGAAAGCCCAAGCGCCATGATCTGTATATAGGGACCAGTGTTAATTTGGATTATGCCCCTACACGTTTACTGATGGATCTGAAATCTTCATTCATTCAGTCAATCGGCTCACCAAAAAGAAGGGTCTTCTACTTTGATAGATGTTTGCAGGGTCATTTTTGTTATGCATTTTTTGCGGTCCCTTTCTGTTGATCTTGGAGATGCCCTATTATTTCTCCAAACGAGACACAGCCTCGCAGAGTGCTAGGCAACAACCTGCAATATGCATACCAACTTGGGCCAAAGCCCCAAGTCTAGAATCCCAGTTGAGGCAATGACCATCAAGTGAACGATGGCTATGGGCCCTCGCGGAGCGAGGGAATTGCTGACACGAGCGTCCAAGTTGGGTTGTTTGGCGCTTGGCGTGTACCCGGATGGCCTCAGCTAAAGGCAAACTCACCTGCTTAACTAAGGTCCTCCAGTAGAGAGGTTAGAATAAGGGTACCTTGTTCTTTCTGTAGTCTATTTTAGTAGGGGAACCCTCCCCACAAAAAGGGTAAAGGGCACTACCGGGGACCTAGTTAAGTCCTCCGGTTCCGGCTGCTGCACACTTTTTGGTACGGATGCATTTCATCAGAAGTCGTGGCAGCACCAAAGACGTCGCATATCGTCAGCTTGACAATCGAAGAAATTGGCAGCTTGGAGGTTGAGAGGGTGATGCAAAGCGACACACACGTTGAGAGGTCAATTTAGAACTCAGGAATCCCAATTGGCCATGGGTCAAAAGCGCGTCCCAGTGAACATGCCAATCCCCTCTAAAATAGGTTCTAAAATGGGTGGAGCACCTACCCCAAAATGGTACCATTGGTCTTGACCCACAGCCAATTGACCTCAAAAAAGGTGAAGCGAAAACAGTTCCCCCCGCAACCAATCCTAGACCAGCCCAAACCTCACTTAAATCCCCTCAAGCAACCTGCAGCCGCTCCTAATCCAGCCGCGACCCAAACCCACATCCAACAGCAGCCCAAATATCATCCAAAGCGTAGCCATGACACATGCCCAACCGAGCATTTCCCAGAACCCTCTGCTGACCTTTGGTTCTACTAAGGCGGCTAGAAAAAATGGGCCATACTATAACCCCCATTGAGCTCGGCAGCAGAAGCACCCTACTTGTTTGCATTATTTCCGCCTCTTGATGCATACTATGACCCCAAAGCTCGTGGCAGAAGCACCCTACTGCTTTTTTCCGTTGTTTTTTTTGCTTTCCCCCCGGCTTGATGAGCGCGGGGCCAGCTTCAGCGCCATGTCCGGCTTCCCGCTGCCGCCCACGAAGACGTTCACCCCGCGGGAGTCGGGGTAGAAGATCTCCAGCAGCACGGACTGGCGGCCAGCCGGCGACACGGCGGGAGGAGCTCAGACCCTGAGGTTCCCGTCCCAACGAGTGGATTGGCCCCAGAAAAGGAACCACTTGGAGTTTTGCCACTAATGTTGACCCAGGATTAATAAACCCGTCCCATTATTAGGGGGGTGTTCCCCCCAAAGTGGTCTGAATCCAACCACTAAAAGGGGACACCCCCCAATGAAAATCAACCAGGAGTTCTGCTTAATCCGGGGTCAACATTAACATGGTCAGAAAACGCCAAAAAGTGAAAGTGCAGAAACTCAAAAAGTGAGCCCACGTGCACGGAAACCGGTTTAGATGGATTCCGAAAAACAGCTGTGTGGCGGAAGCTCCTTTTGAGGGGCAGATTCCATGTTGATTTCCAGAGCAGTAAACCTAGGGGCTCTCTTGGGGAAAATCGATTGCTCAGATGGAACTCTGCAGGAGATACGCAAACATGATGCCAAGCTTGCGACGGAAAGGGATTCGAACCCCAAGTAGAGCAATGTGGGTGTTTCTCAAAAGAGTTCCCTTTAAAATGGTTGGTTTCCTTTTGGTTTCCCTTTACACACCAACAAACAGGGGGTCCACATGTTTTGAGAATCTCCCATACACGGGGCTAACGTAAGGGGATAATATAAGGGGCTATGTAACAGATTCTTCCCTATCATTGGCTAGACGGTTGTTCAAACTCCAACACCGCCGTAGTAAGTTTGTCCTTTGCTTTAGTCTACAGGTGTAGAGTGGTTCCACTGATGCAATGCGCCAACATGACCCCTGAAATGGTTGGCTGAAGGTCACTGATAGGTCAACATCATGGTTGGACATGACCCTCGCTTCTGTGCTACGGTGGGAATCAACCCATCCCCCCCTTTCGAGTGGAGTCTGGAGTCCCTTGGCATCAAGGAAAGTAGTCCGGAGAATTTCCACAAAAGTGGCAAGCGACAAGGGGGGTTCAGTACCTCACTGGCTGAGTGGATGGCCCAAAAAAAGTCCAAACTTTATATTTACCACTAAAATGGTCTTCCCAAAAAGTTTAAAGTTCATGAACTCAGGAAGTCAGGTACACAGTTGCAATGAGCTGAGGACAAACCCGCTTCCACGAAGGACTTTGAGGCCTGTGACAGCCAGTCTGGCCAACAAACGGGGGGGGCACTGAAGCCACTTGTCTTTGCGCTCGTTGTGGGTGATGTGTTTGGGGTTGTCTTTGGGGATGTCTTTGCAAATGTCTTGGGCGCTGTATTTGGGGGATGACTTTGAGCTGCATGTTCTCTGCAGCCTTAGTCTCAGCCCTGCCCCAACCAAGCTTGCAGCGCTGCCGGTATGCTAGTTGCAAATGGCATGACGCATGGCAGCGACAGCCAAGACAATGGCAAGCATTCAGCTACTTCGCTCAGTGTTGTGCCAAACGACCGGATGCAGTCGTGCAGGTAGAGCCGTTGCACAAGCTTCTCACCTCCAGCGAGTCATCCCGAGGCACCTGCTGAGCCTCTTGGAGCTTCTCGATCTTGGCCGCAATTCTTCGCGAGAAAGGCGCGCCAAAAGGCCAGGGCCTTTTTGCGGCATCAACTTGACCTCGATCCTCAGTCCGGCCCAGCAGCTTGATGTTGCACGTGATGCTCCATCACTCTTCGGTGTCCTCGTTCTTTAATATTTTTAGCTTGGCCTTGAATCAAGCCAGCTGCTGTTTGGTCCGCCTGACGGCCAATTGGAAGCAATGCGGCCAAGACAAAGCCTAAGCGCAAGCCTCTGGTGTTTTGTTTCATCGGAACCTCCAAGGCGTGGACGGCGATAACGGCTGAGCTGCATAAGGAGTCAACTTTGCTGAGACGCCTTTCTGCGAATCGCAACGCGTGATCCGCTGTCAAAACATGTGGCTCGCACAAAGGACATGGGACACTTAGGGCTCCATCCCCAGGGAAAATACGTGAGTCCCCCTATGTCTCTGCAGACAGGATATTTTCTCCCAACCTGAATCTTGCGAAATAGGAAGTGTGCTCCCCGAATTGCTTCGCCTTGTCTCCTTGCTTCCGTTTTGGGAAGACACCTCTTCAAGCATCCTGTGAAGGGGTGCTTCATCCCTTTGTCCCATAATAGAAGGGAAGCGGAAGCCGCAAAAATGGCCAAGGCCCACTGCTGAGTTAAAACCTCCACACGGCGCTTTTCGCTGGTGTCCGCCCGTGTTCAGACACACCCCGCCAACAGGAGGTCCCCTTAAGACGGCACAAGGAACCAGGGTCCAATGGAGGCCATGTGTTTGACCCGCCAAATAATGTTCAACCTCATCTTCTCAGATGCCCAGTGGCCATAGGAAAACCAGGGCATCCTTTTTTTGGTGGTTGACTTTTTTCAGGAAAGCCCTTCCCAAAAAGAGTTGAAAAAAAGGCACCACTGGGCACCTGGGTCTTCTAAAGCGAAATGTGGGGATCGAGCCCTGTTCCGGGATCCGCGCATTCTCGGGGTTGGGGTTCCAATACCGGAGCCTCAGCCAGATGGGATCCGCGGGCGCCAAAAATACGATCACAACATGGCCACTGAGCGAAGCACGAAGCCGAACAGAACAGAAAATCATAGCAAAACAACAAGATGACCCATGAAAACAGTCCTTCGTCATGTATAAAACGTCCAAAAACTCAAAAAAAACAACAGCAGGCTTTCCAAACAGCAGCGATGCCAGCGGACTAGCGTGCCGTTCCAAAAGCCCAGCGTGTGCTCATCCTTCGCAGAGCGCGTTGATCCAGGTCAAGTCTGTGAGGCGGCTGAAAAGAAATTGGAATGTACCACACTCCACCCTTTCCTAGTTTGGAGCACCAAAAGCGTGAGCATTCCGAATCGAACATCCGATTCGGGGAAGCCCCTTTGTTGGTTGGTTTCAAGGGGAAACGAAGTGTTGGAGCCAGTCAGTAGACGTCAGTGCGCCAACATGTACCAGGGTGGTCTTATTTTTGTCACTTCTATACAACAATACCTGGAAACTCCTTCTGGCCAAAATTTCAGCCACGGACTCAAAAAGGCGCCTTTTTGCGTCCGCCGGCGGAAATTGGGATCTCCCAAAAATCGTGCGGCGTTTTTGCTTTTCCGGCGGCGTTTTTCATACGCGGCCTTAAAGAGTATTGCTGCCACAACCTTTGCTTTGACCCATAAGCATGCGCCAATGTGACAAGCGTTGATTGTGCAAACCGCCTTTTGTCTCATTATATTGAATATATGCAGCCACAAAGCAGCCTTTTGCAACTTGCAGCCACTGCTGTACCTGCGCATGCCTACCGCCAATCTCTTCAATCAGGGCATGACGCAGCCCGGGTGTATGAATTATGTTTGTTCGATGCGTGTGGCGAGTACGGAGCCCTCTTTGTCTCCACTGCTTCTGGCTTCAAAGGGCTCGTAGCCCCAAAGTGCAGGAATCAGTTTTTTTCCTGCATGCACGGTTCAATAGACGGTTTTGTATTTTGGTGGTGTTTCGGGCTACGGCGGAAACACGCGGGATTACGGCAGAAACACGCGGGATTACGGCGCAAACACGCGTCCAACCAGTGGACGTTCTCAGGGCCTTTGATTGTGCTTGATGCTTGATCTCCTTACCTTCGATTCGTGCTGTTATTAGCGTCACTGTGCAAAGCACGTCTGGTCACAAATGCATTGCCGGCGGAAATCATGATGCATGCAGTTGGCTATGTAGTTGCGGGCACCGACAGTGCCAAAGCTCGTGTATTGATGTGCAAGTGCTTGCCATTTCCGGCCTACGATTGTTCTCTGGATGGGTGGAGTCGTTGCTGCGTGCCCAGTGCCCATCTTCGTAACTTTTGCAGCGTTTGTGAGCAAATCAAAGACATGCCGGTTGGCTTTGCATTGTGGGACCAAGTGCTTGGTTCAGTTTATGATGTTTTAGACCAGGCTTTGCGGCTGTTCTCTCTGGCTGCCGGCGTTTTTCAGAGCTGTCGGCGATGTTTTCTATTTGCGGCTGAAATTCTGGCTGAAAGCAAAGCGGCTAAAATTTTGGCCGGACGGAGGTTCCAGGTATCAGTATATCTCCAAACCTACACTTGCAAAGGGATACATTCTCCAGATCAGGCAATTAGTCCTCAAAGTACCAGCGAAGAAAACTTTTGATGTGCCATGCTGCGTCTCTGAAACGCTCAAACGCACTGCCACACACCTGGGTTGGGCAAATGTTGCTATACAACCAAACCCTGCCTGCCAAAGAGAAACCCACATGAGTTTGGTTTAACCACAACTTCAATATGGTCGTTGTCGTTCCAGGTTGCTATTTTCTGCCAAGGGGGCGAAACCTTCTGCAATGGATACGTCCCCTTCTGTGGCCCTCTCAAAACGCTCTTGGACTCTTTCTGGATGTTGAGAACACGGCCCTCCTTGATGCACCAAGTGGTACAGAAATCAGACATCTTGTCAATTTGCCCAGCATTCACAAACCGGAAATCAGGCATCCGGTTAGGAACCCAGACTGGACATTCCAGAAAACAAAACACTCTCTTTTGGGGGAGTTGATGTTTGCCAAAGAAGAGACCCCCGCAAAAACAAAGGAAACCGGGCAGCACTGGGTGTCTGAGAACCGCCCTGGGCAAACTTGATTCCCCCCCCCCAACACCCCCAGCCCCCCAGCCCCCCACCCACCCACCCCCCCCCCCACCCCCAGCTCCCCAACCCCCTAACCCCTAACCTCCACCCCCCGCCCCCCCCCCCTCCTCAACCTGAGGGCGCCGGCTTGAAGTTCTCCGGCAGAGACATCACCTCCATGTAGTACGTGGAGTCCTCACCCGCGACCCGCAAGCAGCTCGAGCAGCTCGAGCAAGGAAAAAACGCGAGTGGCGCTTGGAGAGAAAAAGACGAGAAGGAACTCCCCTTTGCTTGGTGTGGATGTGTGTCCTGCTTTTGAAAGTCTCCACAAAATGGTGGGTGTCCACTTGGTTTCCCTTTAAACACCACCAACAAAACGGGTACCCTGGAAAAAAGGCACACCGATGTTTCAATAGGAAACAACAAAAGAGCTTGGCCCACTGTCGATTGGTGGGTGCATGGAAACCAAACGGAGAGCAAGCATTGCTTGGCCCTCTGGCGCTTGTTTACTGGAAACCAAAAGGAAACCGTTCCTTCATCTTAAAACACCATTTGGATGTCTTTATTTGAGAGTACCTACCCTTTTTGGGCTAATATTGCAGGAAATGAAGCCCCTATTTATTTGGCACATAAAACTTCGGTTTCTGGCACCCCTTAAAACAGCATAGGCCGTCCCCGCCCCAGAAATTGACATGCGAGACGGAAAGGACATCCATCTCCCTATATGTAGATGCCTTGGATGGGACCGCCAAAGAAAACCGGCAAATCAAAGCCAGGCTTCAAGATAAACCAGTCACTATTGTCTTGTGAGAACACCCTATGCATTCCTCACATTCGACAAATCAACAAGGCCTGAATGAAGAAGCAAGGCTATGCCGGCCATGCCCATGCTTGCCAAACAGCCCACGGATGACTGGGCAACTGCTAGACCGGGACAAGGAAAGCCCCGGGACTCACTGTATTGAACTTGTCACATATGGCTCCAGGCCAGTCACGTAGCTGTTTTGTGCAGAGTCAGAGTCCTAGCTGGGTCACTGCGTGCCTGGGTCACTGACCATTTCCCCAAAGCCAGCCGCCTTCGGCAGAATGCAACTTAGGGTTCTACAAGAACATAGCTCGCAAGAAGGGTGCGCCCGATGGGAGGCAAGCATCCAACAGCTTCCTGCTTGCGGGAGCAGCTTGCATCTTGGAAGTGGTCAGCCAAATCAACTAGGATCCCTCTGGCGTACTCTTCCCAATGTCAAGTCCACAAACTGAAAGAAACAATGTCTCCCCAAGTAGGAGACCCTCCTTTTGGCCAGTTAGAAGCAGCAAAATGGCGAACCCACCCCCGGGGGCTTCTTTTGGAAACGCGCAAATTGGGCGTGGCCTGACCGGTCCCATCGGAGGCATGGGCCGCCCCGCGGGCTTGATCAGGATGTGGTAGAACGAGAAGTCCCAACCTCCGCACTTCCGAAACCGCCTCCCCTGCAAATTGCCGGGTGCTGTTTTACTGTGTTAGTTACTTGTGTTAGAAGTTCTGAAGCCTGGGGGTTTCGACGCAAAGGGTTCCGAAGCTTCGGGGGAAGCACAGCTCAGATAGCCTGAGTAGTTGTCACCAACAACCCCAAAGGTGAATACATCGCGCTTCGCAAGTTCGCAGGTCACAAAGCAATCAATCAGTTTGGCTGTTGCACAGATCCGGTAACTGTGTCCCACAGATCTCGTGATGGAATAGCACAAATCAAGCGGGTAACTTCCACTGACCAGAGTCAACTACCAGAGCCATGATTTGGCTAGGTGTTGAAATAGCGGAAACCCCGAAAACTGGCCGTCCTTTCGGCTTAAGTCACCCTCGGCGGCTTCCATCAGTCAATCAGTCCCGCTATGTCCCGCTAATGAGAAAGCCAGCGGCTTAGGTCCGAAGGTCGGGGCGCAAGCAATGCCGAGGTGACCGTCGATTTGAGGGAACCCGAAACATGATGAACCATAGCCTTTTTGTTGCTGACATGGGAATTCCATCACCATGTTAACTTGGATAAAACACAGAAAACGAATTCAACACCGAATTATGCTTCACATGAGCCGAAACAAAAGGAAGCAACATGGTGTGAAGCCAACTCTGATCCAATAGGCGTCCAGCTCCCTTTCTTGCCCTTCCAGGAGAGCCTTCACAAGGCGCCCTTTGGCACTTGAGTTAGGAACCCCCAACCCCAATTTGAAGGGAAGCCGCGTGGGAAAACAGGGTAAAACACATCCTCACCTAACCAAAGGGAAACGCCAAACTGAAAAAAAACAAACTCACCCGAGGGGGAACAGGGAAACGCCTGGGAAAAGCATGGGAAATCCAAGCGCAAACTCTCCGGCTTCTCCGGTGCCCCAAAACCGAGGTATCTTCGGTGCCAACTCGGCGTCCCCCACCGCAGGGGCAGGAGGCGTAGAAGGGGCCCACACCTGGGGCTGAGCGGCTGACACCGCGGGGGGGTGTCGCCAAATAGCGGACCTGTTGGCTGGTTTAAAGGGAATCCCAAAAGGAAAGCCAAAACCCATATTTTAGGGGTCCCCATTTTGAGAACAGGTGTTTTGGTTTGAAGGTTGCATTGCTTGCTGGGTGCTTGTAGGATCTCTTACCATGGGACGTGACAAGGTACTCCAAAAAAGAGGCCTGAGGAAGGGCTGCGTGGCTTGAAAAACGCACTCGAGGGGTGCTCATTTTTTGAGGAAACACGCAGCGTGTTGGACACGGGATGGGAACACATGCAACTAGCTTCACCCTGGCAGAGCCTCTCCGAAACTCGTCTCTGAGGACTTGGACAACTCAGTCCTCCCTGGACTTAAAACAAGTCCACCCTGCAAACTAAAGCTACGTTCCTACCTTCCGTTTCTCAAATCCTCTCATATCTGCCTGTGTCGGAAATTTATCCATGCTGAACCCGTCCTTTTCTGCACGAAGAATGCCTGCAACCCATGCACATCCCTCTCTTCCACCCGTCGCCATCTCAATTTCGCGTTGCCTAGAGTTCTGACCGGGGCCTGTGGGAAGTGACTGCATCTGCCGCAAGATGGTATGCCCTACAACAGATGAACAAGACGCACCCAAATGGCTGGTTTTCTTTTGGCCTCCCCTAAGCACTAGACAAAAAACATTTGAGTTGACCCATGGCTTCATGCATCGCTGTGGAAAGCGGGTGATCCCAACATGCGATTCCATGTTGCATGATTACTTCCCTGAGGGAACTCCCCTCGCAAGAAAGTGGCAACGAACAACCCATGGCCCAGACCTCTTAACTTGTGTTTCCCAAACTTGGGTGTTAGGGGGGCTTATTGGCCCCAAACCGGGGTGCTCTTCCAAAGACCCTGTCACACCGGTGGACATTTCGCCCCTGGAAGAGTCGTATTTGGCCCCTTTAGACCACTCTTCAGCACGTCTCCTCCCAACGCTTTTTGAAGGCACCGTTTGGGGCGCTGGTTTAGTGCTCTTTTCATGACCATGAGGTGCAAGAAGCCCAACGACTCCGCTCCAAACCTAAGATTATTGTTTCTTTTTTTTACCACTGTCGGGTGATTCAAGCGAAAAGATTCGAAGATGCCTCCGACAAACCGTTGACCCAGCCCACCAAAATTACATCCTCGCGAACATTTGTCACCAACGACGCGTCCTCGACTCCACTCGCCTCGTTCGAGCACTCGACTCGACTGGCCCGGGGCTTCCTGCTGCTCAGCACTCCCCCCTGGAAGCCGTTGTCCTCCTCCACGTCCGGCGTCAAGACCTGAGGGGCCCGCGTCTCAGTGACCCAAAGTTCGGCAAAACACAACCAAAAACCCTCGAAAGGCCACGGCTGGTCGAGTTTCAACCGTGGGGGAGCCCTTTGTGGCTCACCACCAACAAATCATGGGAATGCTGACGGCTGTCTAGCAAACCCCCCTCCCCTGTTTTATGGTGGGGAGTCAATGAAGCGGAGAAGTCTTCCACAAAAAAAACAAACCGCTAGGGACCACAGGCCCAAAATAAACAGCAATTTTACAGAGCTTCTGCTGAGGGGCACATGCCCCACGTCTTGGCAGGCCTGGTTTGGAGGTTTGTCGGCACAAGCACGCCGCTACATCTCACTTTTTACCCCCGATTTACCCACGTAAAATAATATATCTTGCTTCAGTGACTCAAATCTCAACTCACTTCAAAAGACGTTTATGCCCAGCGAGCCGCGGCGCTCGCCCCGGTCTAAGGCGGCCGGGCCAAAGGTCCGAACTTCACGTCCTTGGCTCCGCCTGCAATCCGAAGCGCCGAAAAGTGTGGTTGGTCGCTTGAAAAATGCCGCGGGTGGTGGGTTATCCTATGTTCCCGCGTGGTTTCCATTGGCTTTCTTTAAACCCCCCAAACAAGGGCGCCCTCGCCAAAAGAAGAAGAATAAAACATGATGCAAATGGACGCCATGATGGGTATCCACGCCAATATGTGGTTCCATGTTTGAGGGGAACCAAGTTTCCAGGTTTTTGCAACGAGAGTTCAATGAAGGGACCACAACTCTTGGGGTCCAAAGGCAAACACTGACGTTTCGCCTGGAGCACTCTGAGGAACTGTCACTTTGCCTGAAATGACTTGGGAGGTCTAGCATAAGTGGGAGCTCCGGTGATCTTAAAATACCACTGCTCTTAATGTTGCTTTTCCTATTCCGTGAGACTGAAGCTCGCATTGTGCAAGCTATTGATTTAAGTTTGCCTTGTTCGCAAAAAATCACCGTTGAACCTGGGAGAGGCACTGCATGAGCAGAACCAAGTCATTTGTAGGTATACTGAAAGTTGGAAGCGCCGGCTATGCCCATCAACCACTTTGAGGGTTTCCCATCAGGGCTCGTACTCCCCGCAGATTAACACGGAATCCAATCCAAGCATCATTTGCGGAGGAATCTCCTTTCGGAGTTGCTGATTTATTTGAGGGGGAGTAGCCAAATGAGATCAAGTTTGCAACGGTCAGAACACGCAGTTCCCGCTCAGGACACAAGAAAATTCATGAGTCCCCTGTTGTTGTGGCAACTTCTGTTTTCCCCCGACATCATCCCAAGAGGAAACTCATCTAAAAGTGGGACCAAAAGTTTCTGATGTTTCAACCCCCAAGGGACATACATGGAAAATGTTCGACCCCTCATCCAGAAGTCACAACCCAAAGCTGATGTTTAAACCCCGGTGAAAAAGTCGGACATACGGGAAATATATCACAGGACCGCTGAAAGTTTATGGATGCCCTTCTCACTTTGGCACCGGACGTTCCGTCAAGAGCCATGCCGGCAGCTGAGACGCTCGCGGTCGATGTTCTTCATCTCTAAGAGGTCTACGGTGACATTGGGGCACACCTGAAACGCGATGTGGCCATGGGTCAAAATCCAAATCGTACCCCCAGTGAACATCCCAATCCCCACTGGACGGAAAAAATGGGTGAGCCACAGCCATATATCCTCCAAAGGGCCGTGCACCCTTGGTTGCTGGCGAGAAACCTCTGCAAAAAGCTTTTGACTTTTTGGGGGGGTTAGTGGAGAACCCCTTGATTTTCCAACAAGTTAAAGTCTAAAGATGCAACCCGATAGCAGTCAAGGACCTAGGTCCCCTTTTGGGACAAAAAGATGGATTGCACTGGAAAACGATACTGAAGCCAGTGGAACAGTGATCCTTACATTATACACCTGAACATTGCCTTTTACATGGTGGTTTCCCTCTATTAGCCATGTTTCAAATGGGCAAAATGTATCTTTTAAGGAGCCCTGTGAAATCCTATCTATTCTCAAGTCAAACAGAACCTTTTAGAGGACAGCTCGGATTGGAATGACCTGAGGGCGATTGGACATAGGAACCTGGGCTACAAATGACTGAGCAGCTACAGGTCCCCCGTGAGGAAATTGGTTCCTGGGCTTTAGTCCTTGGGGGCGAAAAACGGCTGGAGATTCTCCGCAAAGGGCCTGGTGTCAATGAGTCAACGCTTCTGCTGCATAGAAACAGCTGGCTTTTGAACAGAAAAACCCGGAGGTTGGAGAATCAACCCCTTTTCAGCCCAGGTTCTCGCAATGGCTCGCAGCCACTCGCTGACGTCATTTTTTGCGGGATGGCCGGTTTTTCGGCAGGTCTGGGAGTCCCAATCCACACCTGGACATCTCGGGCTTACCGATTTCCCCTAGCACCAAACTCTCGAAGAAACAAAGACACGCCCGGCTATGTCTCAAAATCTAGGGACTTGTGTTTGTCCTTTTTCTCACCCGGCTAGGTCGCAAAACTAGGGACTGATGCTTTATTTCTATTTATTTGTTTATTTTTGAGAAAAAAACAACACCTGCTTGCAATCATCGCACTCTTGCCTGTGCTCCCACGTACGTGTCCCCGATGCTGGAGTTGCAAAGAGGCGCCCACCTCAAACGGGCCGCCAGGCCCCGGCCCTTCCGCCCCCTACACCAGGCCTTCCTGCGCCCAACATACTGTGGACGAAATCCAATTCGCACCGAAGAATCCCTGGAATCATTCGATTCCCTTGTAAATGCCAACAAACAAGAGATGCCCACAGTTTCAAAGTGGTGCACGATTTCGTCCATCCACAGTCTGGCCCTTTTAGAAACCACTTCATTGCTGTTTGGGCGGTGCTGACATGTGTCTTGGGCGTGTCTTTCTGCCTTTTTGGAAGCGTACGTCTTTTTGGGCGGCAAACGAAAACCAATGGAAAACCACCAACACGTTTCAGGTTTCCCTCCTCTGGAAACAAAGCATGATTTTCTCAAAATGTGCTCGGCCCTGCAAATGTCTGGCTTTGCGTTGAGAACAAACTGTACTTACCGGTACGTTTTGGCACCCACCAATATGTCCAGCCGGCCAGAAATGGTGTCAACGCCGAACGGACACTTGAGCGGCGACAAAAACAAATTTGACGTGTGGAAAGCCCAACATAGTTATATTCAGATTCATGTTTGCGGCTTTGCTCCAACTCTCCTGAAGCCATGTAGGAGCCGAACTGCTTGCTACAACCGATTTCCGGATTTCCGTTTTGGCGCCTCACTGCTCACTTCAGACTAGCTGGTTGGATCACAAAGGTTGGGTCCCCCGAGCTTAGTCTTGGACCAAATCGATCTCAAACTGACACCGAAGCGAAAAGAACCCAACAACCCGAACCGCACAGAACAAAAGCGCCCGCCTGAACCTAACCAGCCGGAACCCGGCCATCATCCCGATTTGGGGGCTACAGGGCACCTGTCAGGGGCCCCCCAAATTCCTGCAAACCAACCAGAACCCCGAGACTTCTTCATGGTTTACGCGTGACTACCGTCCATTTGGCCGTCCAAACGAACAAGGGCAGTGATTTTGCTAACTATAGGACCTAGATAGCCAAGTTGCGATCGCCTTTTTCAGTCGCTGCTGCTTGTTCTTGGGGTAAAGGCGATGGAAAAAAGCGTCGCAACTGGCGATCCAGGGATCTATCCACCATCCATTGGGCAGTGGTCGGACCAGTCAGGCGCCCGGCACAATGTCCGTGCGGGGCGTCAACGGCACCACGGAGCCATAGGCTGCGCCGCTTCCTGCGGCTTTTTCGGGGGGGAAGCGGTAGGTTGACATGGATCACTGCCCCATGCTCAATAGTGTTTGTCAACTGACATCGGAATTTGGTGAGCAACACCCATTGACTACTGGTAGTTTGGTGAGAGTGGCCTGTGTCATTCCCAGCTGTTCCCCTTACTACAGAAAATTATGATACATGTTACTGATCGTTGCATGCTAAATCTGGGTTCAAACATGTTCAAACCTCCTGCAGCATTAGCTTTGTGGGGCATAGTTTTTGGGTGCTCCTCAGATTACGCCGCCGTTGTGGGCCACAATGGGTGCCCCTTTCCGTGACATTGGGATCCCCATGCTGCCATTTTGAGGGATGCCCTTGCCCTCCGTAAGTCTAAGACTCATGCCCAACCCCCACCCGGCCAAGCAGGTGCTATGCGCAGGCTTAGAGTTGAATCCGGAACCATTCCAGCAGCTCTCAACATGTCATGTGAGTTCTTGAACGATTCTCGAGCGCTTCATCCAACTTACCTCAGCTTTTGCCCAACCCAAATGGCAGCGGGTCAAAAATAGGTACCCAACGACACACCCTGGCAAGTGGAACCAAGGACTAAAAATGCGGTCCCCTGGTGGTTTAATTTTGACCCATACCCAAATAATAGTTTTGCCAGACAGTGTGATCCCGGGACTGCTTTTCAAGTTGCAAATCTCTCCTGTGAGCGTACCATCGGTATCTTGGAGCAGCATCTGGTCCAGACCTTCGCCCGGCGAAAAAACCCACTCAAATCCGTGGAAACAAGAAAGAAATTGCAGGTCCCCAAAAACCATAAAGGAGCTTCGAGGCATAAGTGTGCGGCCAGGCCTGGGGTCCAATGTCGCAGATCTTTGGCCATGGTGAGTATTTAGTGGGGAAACCCCCAGAAAAAAAAAATGACAGGAAGCAAACCACTGGGCCTTTGGGGGGCTTCAGTGGCCCATTAAAAACCTGTCCCAGGAACACCTTCGGAGATTGCTCTGGGGTTTGGTCCGAAGCGCCAAGTTGGGGAGGACAGGCGGTGGTCAAATCTTGGTTTCCCTTAATAAGGTGAAAAGGGTACCCTCATCACACACACACACACAACACACAACACACACACGCACATTTGGAGACCCGATACCAGACTCACGGGCGGATTGCAGAGTGCGTCTTTAGTTTTTGCTTTTGCCCCGGTGGCCACCATGCAGGATCTCTTTAGTTGTCCTCTGAAACCCCATCGAAAAGGTCCACAAAAATCAGGGACCCCAACATCACGCGAATGGATGGTTTGAACCAACAGCACCTATGTCCCCGACATGGCCAAGCACGTCACTCACCAACGGTCCCAACAAGAATATACGCCAAGCACGCCTAAAGTAAAGGTGGGCCAACGTTCTGATCAGAATTGAAACAGCTGCCATTGTGTACCTACACATATACATATGATCATGTATATATATAGTAAAATATACAAACATATTACAATATTCATCAATAAGAGCCTTTCAGCTTTTCTTCGGGGTAGTGGTGATCTTTGATGTATAACCCCCCTCATGAATGACTGAGAGCTTGCATTTCCAGGGAGACAAACTACTGAGGGGCGCATGAATCAGGAGTCGGCACTACCCTCTGATTGTTTAGTCCCCTGTGTCCATTCCTTTACAAGTTTGCCTTTTGGATGTCGAACCAACAAGGGGTGCTGAAAATAAAAATGCCATAAGCCATCTTTGAAGTATCCCCGCCAAAACTGGCTTCTTTGGCTCTGTTCTGACCTGAGTTTGGGCCTTGACTGCACTCATGCTTGACAAAATGCGAGCCCAACTCCGTATTTCAATTCAGGGCCCAAACAATTCAAGCACATACTGAACATCTGCTTTTTCTTGCGCTTAAAAGCACAATCAAACAATCGACAAAACTCGTTGGTTGTGTGTTGCCCCCCAAGATAGCCTCTACCCGAGGTGTCCTGGACTATTGGCCTGTGTGCCAAAATAGGAATACCCCCCAAAAAAAATAAACACACGTAGGTTTCCCTTCGGTTCCCTCAATATAAACCAACCTAGAATAGGGTTCCCTCCAAAAAAGGACACACCCATTTGATCATGGGTTTTGGTACGGGACATTTTGCACCCGTGCCACGTACGCTTTTTCGTCCCGCTTTTAAAAGCGCGTTCGATTTTTGAGACCCGCACCCATGCATCCGCCACCAGTGCTCTTGCACGGAGAGGCGCGGGCAGTGTAAGCCTCAGCCGTGGAAAATGCCACTCGCGAAAGACACCCATTTCAATACAAAAAAACTCAAACCTCCCTACCCAAATGGCCAATCCATTTCAATGGGAAGATCGACCTGCCTACCCAAGGACCCAAGGACATCCATTTTCAATGGGAAAATCGAATCCCCTGCCCAAATGGCCAAAGACATCCGATTCAATATGGAAATTCAACCCCCCCTACCCGGTTACCCCCAACGGCCTTAGTTGGAAGCGGCTTTCGGGCGCTCAAAAACGAAACGCGAAGTCACCTTGGGCTCCCGAACCGAATCCAGCTGAGCAGTGCTCAGCTCAAAGCGGGCCGCGTCATCGGACTGCGGACAAAAACGGCGGGCAGAGTAGGACCAACCAAACAACGTGTTAAGGTTCTGCGTCCAAAATGGGGGGACCCCAGGAATGCATAAAAAATCACAAAACAAACGCACCCAAACAACAAGATGATCGTCTGTGGATGGAAAACATACTGGGATAGACTACCTAATGTAAGAATCTGATGAATTGCGCATTAAGCTTGGTGTGACCGTACAACCCCTCTTAAAAACATAGAGAGCAGCACCAAAGCGCATCTTTTCGCAAACATCAAGCGTCAGCAGCACGCTTGATTTGCAAGAAAGCAAGCATAGTTTGGACCCTTGTGGTTTAGTCGGAGACCATGCTTTTGTGATATGTTGCACGGAGATTCCATTCCCGGAAAAAACAAATCATTTCTGACTCCGTGATTTTTTGTGAGGGCCAGGGGTCAACCAGCATCTAAAATCAATCGAGTCCGGTTCCGCAGCCTCGTACCAGGTGGTGCGGGTGAAGGTGGCAGGGAAACTCACCTGGCCGAACCGAACATCGAGCAAGCTGGAGGCAGTTAGGCTCAAGTAGCCTTAACTTGGCCCAACTACTTTTGCCAGCCCCAACATGATCTTAACTTCTTTGGGGGGGAGTGTTGGGGGGGGGGGGGGAAGTTTCGCA